GTGTCATGGTTGTGCCCATGGATCCCCACAGTGATCCCCCCTAGTTCTTGTGCATCTCTGAGAAGAGCATCCCACATGGGGCACCCTGGGGCCATCCTTTTGGGTCTGCCATACGGTCCTCTTAGCCACATGAGGTGGCTGTGGCTCCTGGGGAAGGAGGGCCTGAGCTGAGCCACCCACATCCGCTATGATGGCCGCGTTGGCCAGCGCCTGCTTCGTGTGACCTGGCCCCATGGCAGGTTCACATGGCAGTAACCTGGCTCATGAGCCCAGCTCATATGGGGACAACCTGCCAGTACCATGTTCCCTCTTCCCAGTCTTGCTTGCACCTGCAAAGCCATGTCACTTCTTTTGGGCGCCTCCAGGGGACGAGTGGCTTGAATGTCATGTCTCTCCAGCCAGGGAGAGGAAGGCACTTTCTGAACCACTGGTAGGATTTTTTCATTTCTCCAAGCAAGGAGGAGCTGCTTTCGATTCACTTCCTCAGTCTGTCATCCCCTCACATCCCCTGCCAAGAAATTTTGTCATTCTCAGCCTCCCTGAGTGTTGTGTGCGAGATTTCTGGGATGCTCTGTAAGCGTAGAGGCTCCAAAGAGGCAATGTCAGGGGCAAAGGTGTGGATGTCCGGCACGTAGATGTCCTTGGAGGCAACAGCTCCATCTCTCTCTTCATTCTTGTGCAAGTCTTGCCTTGACCCAAGGCAAAGCTGGGAAGCTGGCCAAGCTGCGGGCTGCCTGCCCTCTGCAGCCGCCAGCCGGTGGGTCTCAGCCTGCCCGGGTGCTGCAGGGTGACGCACGCGGGGCAGGGCCGAGGACTTGGTGAGCATCTTGCTCCTGCTGCCAGGCTGTGCCCTGGCTCTCCCTCCTGCTCCTGAGCTGCTACAGGAGCTATGTAGCACCTGCACGGACGGCAGGAGCCGTTTAACTCCCAGCCAGGGAGCTGCTGTGCTCTTGGGGGGATGGTGGCACCGGGGTAGCACTCGTCTTGACAGCTGCCACAGAGCTGCAACCTGCTTTGGCCTTAAACCAGGTGGAAACTTGTTCATTTGGGCCAAGCACAAGCAGGTAGCATCATTCTGGATGAAGATCTACTCTCGACTGGAAGCAGGGAGCATCTGCTTTAAAAACTGGCTTGGTGCAGAGGGTGAGGGACGTCCCACTGCGGGGCTTTGCAAGAAGCCAGCATGGGAGCATGTTTATGGCTACCTGATGGGGCTGAGAGCACTGAATATTTCTGGAGCACCCGGTTGCTTTGGCTCTGGATACCCCTTGCTCGCGGCCAGGGCAGGGGGGGCAGCATCAGTGGAGTGGGGTTGTCCACACACACCACTTGAGTGTCCATGAATTTTAGCCCTTGGCATCAGACTGGGTTTTAGCAGCCCCAAGCCCCTTTGAAGTAGCCGGTAAGCAAATCAGTCACATCCCAGGGCCCTGGCCTGGCTGGGAACTCCTGGGTCCGCTCCAAGCTTGGGATTTCGGGAACTGGGTCATAGTCCAGGCAGCTGGAGTTGGCAAGGGCCCTGGGCAGGATGTAAGGGGACAGCTCAGTCCAGGCAGGGACTTAGAGGTGGGCTCAGTGCTGTCTCCTTGCCGCCCTGAGCCCAGGGATGGTCATGCTGCTGCTGCGAGGTCCACGCTGACACTGCCGAGTCCTGACCTTAGGAAGCAACTGCCTTGCGGGTAAGCAAACATCCCTTTCTAAATCCCTCTGGATATAATCCTTCGGAGGCTTTATATTCCCAGCATACAAGGGAGGCTTTGCAAAAGGCCCTCTGCTCAGACGAGCCCCCCAAGGACAGGTGAAGAAAGCCGAGCTCGGCACGTCCAAGCAGGTTAGGGCTCGTGGCACCCACGGCTTAGTTTTTCCAAGTTGTTTGTTCACCTCAGCTCCGATCAGAGGTTTTCTCCCTGACTCTGCACTCTGGGAAAAAAAAAAAAAAAAAGTTGTGCTGGAAGGGTGGGAGCCCATTGGCCAGGTTGGGCAACCCTGAGTCACCAGCCCTGCAAACCAGCGGGAATGCAGCGGGACCAGCCAACCTCCTGCCGAGACGAAGTTCCGTAAGAGGGGAGCAGGGGGTAAAATAAGCATGAAGTTTCCTCCTGTTTTGTCTTGCTGCTTTTGCTTTCGATTGTGACCCAGCTCCTCGTGCCAGCACCTGGGCGCTGTTCTGGGGACATCCTCCAGGAGCCTGGGTGCCAGCTGGGGCACGGCTTCTTCAGCGCCAGCTTCTTGTGGCTGGAGCTTCTGAACCGCCTCGCGTGCCACTGCTGCGTGATCAGCAGGGCAACCGCCTGGCCAGACCTTGGCCCTGTGGCGTGTGTGTTCCGCGTGGATTGTTTTCACTTCTCTGAAAGTGTTGTCTTGTGGGAGTGAGAGGGAGGTGGAGAACGCCTGGGAGCGGGTCTGACTCCGGATGGCTAAAGTACATGCTGTGAGTTAGAGAAGTAGCTGCAGACCTCTGTCATCATCCCTCTCGGTTTTCCTTTCAGTTGTATTTTGAAAGGAACCCATTTAGCTATTTCTGTTTGTTATTGCAAAAAAAAAAAAACCCTTATTCTTCAGCATGCCCGACCAGGGCAAATGCAATCAGCATGACAGAGAAGGAAGAGGATGTGTTAGACCAGGGTTGTGGTAGGGACATTCCCACCTTCCCTGTCTTGTGCAAGTGCTGCTGTGCGGGCAGCGATGGAGTGGAGGAGAAGTGAAGACCTCCCTGGTGCGGGTTCTCCGGGAGCAGCTCTGGGAACCTCCGGGAGCAGCTCTGGGAACCACCAGGAGCAGCTCTGGGAACCTCCTGGCAGAGCCGTTTGGGCAGCCCTGGGCGCGCTCCCGGGAGGGTTAAAAGCAGTGCCTCAAGCACAGGCTTTCCCTTCCTGAGCTTCATCCCGTGCGTGCTAATCAGGCCTCCCCTGCTCCCTGCCTCCACGCCGCTAAGTCAAGTGGAGCAGTTAAACTTTTTTTCTTTTCAGCCTTTGAACTGCTCCAGCACCCTGTTGCATTTCCTCTTCTTCCTCATCCTTACCGGAATGTTGGGTTCTGGGGCCTGAGCATCCTCCTCCTCCAGGCATGCATTTGGAAGATGGATACCATCCTTTAGTGGGAGCAGGGTGGGGAAACCATGCGCCTTTGGCTTGTCTAAAGGTCCCGATACCCGCGCAGCTAATGTGTAACGCGGGCAGCCCCGTGCAGGAGTACACATTAACCTGCTTTCACAATTGCCCTGGCTGGCATGACCCACTGGGTGTCCTCACCAGCACCGTGGGCTGCGTTGCTCAGGGTGAGTGTCAGTGGCTCCCCAAGTTTGGAGCCACCTGGAGAGGCACGAGCTGGTGTCCATGCAGCCCTGTGAGCCCTGCAGAGGCTTCTCAGCCCCCTAGGAAAACTTGTTGCATCTCCAGCGAAGCAGCTGGCCTCAAAGGAAAGCTTTGCTTTGGGGATGGCATAGTGGGAGGAACGTCCTGTTGAGGTCCATAAGGTGAGAAGCAGGAGGGCTACGTGGATTGAGCAGGACAGGCAGCTGCCTCGCTGGAGAGTAGATCGCTTTGTGCATCCATCTTGCGCGTGCTGTGAAAATCCTGCCTGAAATGAGGGTGGGGGGCATTTTGCAAAGCAAAAAATGCTGGGCTGCTTTTTCTTTTTGATCTCTGCACGAGATTGTTGTTGCAAGAACGTCTCCTGGGGAGAAGGTAGTGGTATTATTTGTGTTCATATCCTGGAGGAATTTGATCAGCCGCCAAACGCGTCTCTCCCTCTCCAGACACTGCAGCGGCGTGCACGTCGATGTGTCGGCAAGCGCTTGCAGCTGCGGAGGAGCTGCCCGGCCCGGCAGAGCCCGTCTATCTGCCCGTGCCTTGGAGAAAACCTCTGTCCCACTGAAAGGCAGCTGGCGGCAGCACCATGTCCAAGGATGAGGGCGCAAAGAAGCCTGCGGAGGAGGCAGCACCGGAGCAGCGCTGGAAGTTCCAGGTCTTCTACCTGTGCTTCTATGGGTTCATGACGCAGATTCGGCCCGGAGAAAGCTTCATCACCCCCTACCTCCTGGGGCCTGACAAGAACTTCACAGAAGTGGAGGTGAGCAGCCCGTGAGCTCCTCGTTTAGGGGTTTTGGCTTCCTGCAGGCACCCAGCTCATGGGCCCCTTTGTCCCTTATAGGGCTGGGATGGGCAGCAGCAACCCTCCCCATGCACCACATCAGCCCCGGAGTGCTGTGGGTGCAGAGGGACGTGCCGGGGAGCAGAAGGCTGGGACACAGATGTGGCATATCCCTTTTGGGGTGGAGCGGGGTGTTTCCACATACACAGGGAAAGGGTGCTGGGGCAGTGTGGCACGAGCAGAGCCGACTGCCAGCAGTGCTTTCCTGTCTTGCTCGGCTGCAGTGTGGCCAGATTAAACTCAGGTAACCCCAGCCTGGAAAAACAGTCCTCAGGTCACCTTTCTGCAGCGGCCTGGGGAAAGACCTGCTGGCGAGCAGGCTGGAGGGGCCCAGCGAGCCCATGGGCTGGCCCTGCATGCCCTTGCAGCCTGGCAGCTTGCTCCAAAGCTGCCCACCTGCCTCCTGGCCTTCTTCTTGGTGCCTGGGTGACCTGAGCAGGTCACCTTGACAATCCTGCTCCAGGGCATATAGCAAAAGACCCCTTAGCAGCATCACTGGCACAGTACGGGGTGGCTGACGGCCTTGTGTGACTGCCTCGGGTGGAGACAGCCCCTTGGGTGCCAGTGACAGCTTTCTGGGTGGGGGGGGTCAGTGGGCTGACACGGGTTTGAGGTCTGTCTTGCTTTGCCAAAGGCTGCCTGGCCCAAAGGGCCTCCCCATGCTCCCCACGGAGCTAGGGCTGTGCCTGGCCGCTGCCTGCCCGGGTTTATGTTTAAGCCTGGGGTTAGCAGGGGGAGGGCTAAGCTTTGAGGCTGGTTGCTGAGGGTCGGGGTGCAGGGGGAGGTGGCGGGGACGAGGGAGAAGGGCGGGAGTTGGCCCCACAGCCACTGGCACAGTGCACAGCGGTGGGGCGAGCGTGGCCCTGGGCACCATCAGCCAAGGTTGCACTGCTGGCCACAGCCAGGAAAGAGGGGGCTGCCTCTCTCCTCAGCATCTAGACGTGTTGGCCCCGATCCCGGCGGATTGCTGCAGCCGTGGGAACACCGCGGTCCCAGCGTGGCTTAGCCGGGCCCCTGGCTGAGCACACGTCAGGCCGAATTCCTCCCCGAGGAGAGGTCGCGCTGGGGCGGCCGCGGCCCAGCTGGGGGCGTGCGGCGAGGACGGGGCCCGCGGGCGGCCGCAGTGTGCGCCG